TGAAGAAGTCTGATTAAGTAGATTATCAGTGTTTTTCTTCAATCAGTATTTACATGAGATGAAGATTCTAGAATGTGTAACAATTGATGGTAGTTACAGATCCAGTGAAAACATAGCCTGAGATTATATATTTGTTGAAGGCAGTGTTCTACATTATAATAGATATTGCACATTTTAAAACTTGAATACCAGAAAATATGCTTTTAATCTTTGCTTGGTTGACTAAGGATACAGAATTTAAAAGCAATAAATGATTTTGGTTAAATGTTGGGAGAGCTTATGCATATACTCAGGAAATTTCCACTTAAAATCACTTATTAAGGAGATTGGAAATGTCATGCTGAACTGTCTTATGATCTAATTTTATATGTACTTTGTAATCCTTGTATTAATATGATGAAGGGAGTATATGAGTTTTTGGTACTAATTTTTGATTCTCCACATTCATGAAAGGGATTCAAATAAGTAGAAAATTATCTCTTAGTTGAGACTTGTTTCCTTTTATTTATTAGATTACTACTCTCTTTTAAATAATGGTAAAAATTACAAAGTGATATAACTAAAGAAAGCCAAGTATTTACAGATTAAATATCTTATTTCTCAGTTTTTATATAATTACAACAATAAAAACATTCCATGGCATCAGTGATGATGAGTGGGATGGCTGTCATTTATAGAGGATCTTATCTTTACTGTGCAATATGATAGTTTCATTACCTGCATTATTTCTGATCCACACATTAACCTTACAAGGTTATTATTGTTCCTCTTTTAGAGATTACCAAACTGAGACTCAATTTAAGCTACTTAACTCAAACCACTCTATCTATAAATGACATAGTTGAGATTTGAACCAATGTCTGTCTGATTTCAAAATATTTCCATTTCTATTGAAATTTTTTCCAGTTTCATTAAACAGCTTTTTGAAATACAACATTTTTTAAAAATACATATATTGTTGTGATAGGAGTGGATACATTGTTAAAATATCCATTTTTTGAAATTTTATTTGGCTTTTTTGAAGAGTTCAGAGTTAGATCTCGCTTTGAATATGTATTTCTAAAGAGGCAAATCTGCTCTAACATGGTATGTTCCATTTTCTAGCCAAATAGACTTTTTCTGTTGTGTTCAAAGTGATCTATAGAGGATCATGTTAAATTAATTGTATATTTTAGGTATTTTAATGAAATAAATTTATTTTTAAATAAACAAATATATTTATTTTACTTAAATAAATTTTAATGAAATAAAGTATGCATAATTGTTTGCCCTTTAGATATATTTGTAAACTGAAGCAGATGTCTGTGTATGATGATCCAGAATACAGGAGTATTCTGGAGTCAAAAAGAAAATAGTTATTCTTTTGAAGTTAGTTACTGCAATGTAAGAAACCTACAAACCACCTACAGTTGGTTGGAAAAACAATTAAAAAAATTTTTTAAAGATTGTATTTATTTATTTAGAGAGTGTGCACAAGTGGGGGGAAGGGCAAAGGGAGAGGGAGAGAGAGGATCTCAAGCAGACCCCACTCTGAACATGGAGCCCAACTCCGGGCTTGATCCCCTGACCCTGAGAACATGAGCTGAGCTGAAATTAGGAGTCAGCTGCTCAACTGACTGAGTCACCCAGGCGCCCCAGTTACAAAAACAGTTTAAAGATATAAGTAATCTGGAATTTAGAATGAATATATAGTGTAAGAATGATTAATGGTGGATGACATTGGTACATTATATATGGTGCTTTTTACGTTGGAAGAAAATCTTACTGTGAATATTTTAGGAATTGTGCTTTTCTTTCTAATACAATTATTATATGTATGTAAAGTACACCTAGACACATGCTATTCACATTGAGAATACATAACTTTATGCAAAGTCTGTTTGGTGTATCTGTATTTAAAGGTTTTTTTTTTTTTAAGATTTTATTTATTTATTTGACAGAGTACAAGCGAGGGGAGCAGGGAGAGGGAGAAGCAGGCTCCCACTGAGCAGAGAGCCCGATGTGGGGCTCGATCCCAGGACCCTGGGATCATGGCCTGAGCCGAAGACAGATGCTTAACTGACTGAGCCACCCAGACGCCCTGGTATATCTGTATTTAAAGTCAGAATTGTGAAGCATTTTGTGGACAAAGCTTGCTGCCCAGTTCAGGAGATATTTATTGACCTTTTTGCTATGTTTTGAACGAATTGATAAAAACAATTCTAATTTAAAGTGTGGGAAAATGAACACTGAAATGGGAGTATCAGGACCTTGGTTCTCTTCCTGCTCTGCTGCTATTTTGTTTTGTGATCACTATGTGTACCCTTTTTTTGTAGTCAGCCCAAACGTGTGGGGGATGCTGTGTAGAAATGAATGCAGGTCATCAGTATACAACAAAATTACGAGATCAGAGCGGGTCAGGCTAATGAGCTAAATGTAGATCAAATTGAAAGCCATATATTTTCCCCATAGAAATAATATTTTACATGGTGGTTAGATTTTTAAAAAATATTTTTAATACAGACTTATAAAGTGAGTAACCCTGGACAAATTATTACACTAAGCTTCAGTTTCTTTACCTGTAATATGAGGATTATAATAGCTCCTAAGTGTGGGAATTACATAACAAATTATAATCAATTTTGTAAGGCCCACAATGTTTGGCAATTAAATAAGTACTCAGTGTATGTTTATTGTTATTATTACTACTTTACTGCTGCTAGAAAAATAAGCCACTTTAAAAATATTTTTCTTGAAAAAGATGCATTCTAATTTCAGATTCTTAAACTTTCACAAAAATTTCTTTTCCTCCTGCTGCAGTGGGGTTAGGAACTCCCCTATCTCTTGTCTTCCTTACCTCTTGGTGAGTAGAAGATGAAGATTCAGTTAGTTCTAAACTATTGATGATGACTCCTGTGGTTTAGGTCAGAGACTTGGTTCCTACAAAAGTTTGTTGCGGAAGTGAAGTCTGGTCAGGTTTCAGGCCAGTCGGGGAAAAAGGAGTTAAAGCAGTGGTGGTCTTCAGGAATATGGAGTCCTCTCAGTTTTTGGTAGCTCCCATGATTGACTCCGCTGTGTGCCTTATGTGCCCCCTGCTATTCACTACCTTACGTTTTTGCTAGATTTTCCTTCGCTACTGAAGAAGGGAACAGAACGCATGTTGATTTTGAAGTTAAAAACTTTTTTGAACTGATAGCAGAGTCAAAACTGTGAGACCTGTGGAAGGTCTTCCTTGGTGCAAAGGTCAGGTTGGTGGGCTCGAAGGCTCTCACTGCAGCGGGGCTGTCTGGGGACATACGGTTCTGCAATGGCCCCAGGACTAGAAAAGGAGATTTCCTGAGTGAGCTTATGTTGGTCAGACTGTCCTCAGGATTCTCTGTAAAAGTACTGCTTACAGTTCACATTTTCATGTTTGAAAGGACTTGAGGAAATGAGGCAATCAATGACAGTAATGAAGGAACAAAAGAAATGATTAAAAGGAAAGGTGATGGATTCATGAAACACATTAAAGGAGTTAGATTTGTTTAGGAGAAAAAAAGACCTAAATACTTAAAATAACATTTAAAAATCTGATTCTTTGCTGGGGACATATAAAAGACTATATTAAAATTAGTTATTATTTTGCGAGGGTGATATGTGCATAATACAGTGAAAACCTGTCTCCCTCTCGTTGGTCTTGGCTAGCTGTTTTTCCCTTGGAGACAGCAACTGTCACTGGTGCTGTCCTTCTGTGCATGTTCTGCGCGTGTACTCCCGTGTGTTTCTCCTTCCTCTTCTTCAAAAATGTGAATGGGAGCGTTTCATATATACTGTTGTCCACCTCTTTACCTCTTCTTTGCCTTAGTAGTGTGCCTTAGGTTTTGTGTCGTATCATGACCAGTAGGGCTGCCTTGTGTTTCTCATTTACCCGACTGTATAGCATTCCATTCTATGGAGATTCCATAATTTGATTATCCAGTTTTCTGTTAAACGAGCAAGTTAGGTGGTCTTTCCTCTTCTATTTTGCTGTTATAAAGTTTGGTGCCCTGGATATTTCTGTTCATTTCTTATTTCCACCTGTGAAAATAACATAATTTCCTAGAAAGGGAATTGGTGGGCCAAAAGATGAATATCTGACATGTCAGTGGTTGGTACCAACGTGGCTGTTTTCTGAGGAACAGTTATGTTGTTGCCAGTGTTATAGATGCTATACTTTTCCCTCATTTCCCAGCAGGTCGTTTTATTGCTGCCATGGGCGTCTGCAGTTCAAGTGATGTGTAAAAATGTTGCATGGTTTTGTTTGATCTAATTGTTAAGGTCTTTTAACCTTACAGTATTTATTTTTTTTCTTTAAAAGGCCATGGGCAAGCTTGGAGGCTCTTATGTCCCATTTTGGATACCTGAGCAAGGTGTATCTGGCAGTTATTACTGCGGGGAAGGGAAGATGGGTGTAATATTAGAAGGCATGAAGTTGGGCAGGTCCCTACAGCATGCTTGTTTTCTCTCTGAATTGTGATCCTCCTTAACTGTGAAGTCTGTAACTGTGCCTCTCATTGTGGTTGGCCCAGGAGACTTTTACATATAGTGTTAGCCTTTCTGGTTTTCTGTTTACCTTTCTTAATTCTGAAATCGTGAAATAAGAAAATCCTGCACTTTTTTTTTCCTGCACTTGGAAAAGTTATTTTCTCCACTTATTAACTGGAGACTCGAGTAGAGAAAAATAGTTATTAAATCAATAATTAGTGAACAATCACCTTCATTTGGGTTCTGAGTTTGATTATGTAGGTCACAGAGCCTGAGGCAGTGGGAGGGGCCTGGGTGTCACTGGTGTAGAGCCGTCAGATGCAGTGAGTGTGCTGTATGTGATTTCCTGTCTTTACCCCAACTGTAATTAAAATAGCATGTAGTAGACCGTGGCCCGGCATGATCACATATCACTGTGTATCAGCCACACGCCTGGGTGTACATAAGTAGCTGAACACCTTGAACATCGGTGGTGTTCTTTATTCCATGTCTTGAGGTTTAACTTTTTGGAATACAAGATGGAGACTGAATGTGAGAGTAGCACTTCAGGAGATGATAGTGTCTTTTGGTTGGATTTTGAAGTTTTAACCGAGATGACTGGCAGTGAAGAGGGAGAGAGGGACGACAACTTCAGGTAATTATGTAATTCACAGTTCTCTCTCTCACCTTTGTTCCTCTGTCTGCTCCCTCCACCCCTGCACCTGTTTCCGATCCTTTCTGTTTTAATCTCTTTTCTGGTAAGACTGTCTTTTCTCAGGGGGAAGGTTTGGAGCTGAAAAGAACAGGTTTCTAGTTGTGTATAGCACTCTTCATTCCACAACATGCCCTGAGCTTATAAAATGCATTTTAAATGACTTGTTAGAACACCAGGAAGAGAAGGTGTTAGACAGGTTTTGTAGTAGCATTTCAGGAATTTCAAGTACAGACTCATAATGAATAAACTACCTACCACTCCTTCCTGTGTCTGATTTGCACCTAATAGATTTGATCTGAATTTGAATGTAATAGGTTTTTCTTCCTCTTTTTTTTTTTACTCAAATGCCCTCATGTATGTGCCCTCATGTGCATGGATGTTTTTGTTGCCTTATTCATGTGTATGAAACATTTTGACTATAAGTACAAATTAATTATTTCATGGCTCTGATCCCTACCCTTGTCTCTGACCTTATATCTCACTCTTCCTTCACCTCTTGTGAGTCTTTCTTGGTATTGAATTTCTACTTGTAAATTCATAACTGAAGTGTTTAGGGAATGCCTCCTGACTAAGCAGATCGCAAAGTTTGGTAGCACTAGTGAAGAAAGAGGTCTTATCCAGCTTGTGGAAACAGTGCCATTGGTTTATTAATTCTGTTACAAATTTTAGAAGGCTTTTTTTCCAAATAGCGTTGGCAGATTCATTCTTTTGGAGTTATTAAATCATTTCTTGAAGAAGTTTGTTCTACATATTATCAGTGCCACCCACATGAGCAATTAAACATCTTTATAATTTTACCTATGAGTACTTGGGTAGGTGAACATACCATTATTTACATCAGATCTTGTCTTTATGTTTAATGTTCAAAAAGAGTCTCTGTCAAGTTAAAGAATTTCTTTATCCACAGATTCGATTTTTAAAGTCTAGGATAGGGGTGCCTGGGTGGCTCAGTCGGTTGAGCATGCCACTCTTGATTTCGGCTCAGGTTGTGATCTCAGAGTCGTGAGATTGAGCCCCAGGTCGGCTCTGCACTCAGTGGAGAGTCTGCTTGAGATTCTCTCTCTCAGTCTCCCTCTGTTCCTCCCCCTGCTTGTGCTCCCTCATACTCTCTCTCTATAAAATAAGTAAATAAAGTCTAGGATAAATGGCAGAAAGGACTGATTATAAGGAAGTCTTGGTAACCCACATTAAATTTGCCACTCAGTGGTTAAAATGAATAAGTGTTTTAAATTTGTAGAAAAGTTTAATGCAAAGTATGAAAATGAACTATTAGCATATGAAATTCTTTTTTTGTATCAACTTTTTCATTCTTCCCATAGTTTTATTTGGCCTTTCTTATTTGAGTAAGCTTCTCTCCCAAGATATGCTGATGTTACATATATTCTTTATAATATGGTCAGTGTCTCATGGACAGTTATAAAAAATAAAAGTATTTATTTTGTCGGTATTAAAACTGTTTGACTTCGTGTTAAAATTATAAAAGTTCTTTTGGGGTATTAGTCAAAGGAAAAAACAGTCTGGACTTTGTTGTTGTAATAGATTTGGTACTGTTGTCCTTGATTTACTTGTTAGGCAACAGGAGCCTGTCTGGGATTTTCTTCTGACTGTTAAATTTAAAAACAAATCTGTACAAGATTGAACTTTCTTTTCCTCAAGACTGTGTGATAGCATTTTCATCCTGAGAAACTGAACTCTAGTGTTTGCATTGTTTTAGGAAACCATGATACAACATAGGGCATTGATCCTTTTTATAGTGATAATTTCAAATCTGAATGTCATCATGGCTCTCCCAGACCAAATATGTCTTGGAGATTTGATCTTACTTTATTTGAAAGTGCAAGAAAGAGATCTGAGTGAGGCCATATTTCATGTAGTGTTTCTCACCTATTCAGCAGTAAGACATGAGGAAATGCGGCCGCACAGTGCTTTTACCACATTCACAGCAGCGTTCCAGCTAAAATGCCTAACAGAAAAAATGTGTGTGTGGGTGTCGAAGGTGAAGGGTTGGATGGTAGGAGTTGCAGTTGTAACCTTGGGAGAACCAAATAGTAGACTCCGTGTTATATATGAAAATTGTTTTAGTAAAAGCAGTTTAGTAATTAAGAAAATATACAGAAAAGCCTTAATGTGTTTCTTTAAAATCTGTGCTAATACACATTAAATCAAACTGTCATTGTTTACGTTCTAGTTAATTTCCATTTACACACACACACACACACACACAGCGAGGGCAAAAGATTGTGTACTGTTCTTTTTTTCTGAATGGTTTCTAATCTAGGTTTTAAATTCATTCTTAGAAAAATAGCACTGTGTCATTTGAGACACCATGACTGATGAAGTCATACCATACCTACAGTGTAGGTTCGTGGTGCTTCCAGCTATCATCTGCTTTAGGAGGAAGCACTCACAGATGGGCATTCATCTCTGTCCAGTAGCTTTTGGAATGGCATTTATTTTTAGACTTGGTTGGAAGAAAGGATACTTTTTCTAACATTCTAGCACTGTGGGGAGTTGCCCAGTCTCCTTCATAGCAATAGTTCAAACTTGTCTACCACTGACTCACAAATCTCTCATTTTCTGATTTCTAATTTGTAGAGTGAAGTTGTTACCTACCATTAGCACTATGCTAAAATAGTTCTTTGACTAGAACATTTAGAGATTGTCATAGTCCTTAGAATAGAATAGTCCTTAAGGATCATGAGAAGAGCCCTTCTGTAAATAAGAAGGAGGAATATGAGGCAGAAAAGGAAAAGCAGAGATGATTTAATTATTTTAAGAGGGTGCCTGGGTGGCTCAGTCGGTTATGCGACTGCCTTCAGCTCAGGTCATGATCCCAGGATCCTGGTTTCGAGTCCCGCATTGGGCTCCTGCTTCTCAGGGAGTCTGCTTCTCCCTTTGCCTCTCTCACTCTCATGAATAAATAAAATCTTTAAAAAAATTATTTTAAGAAAGAAAAATTTAATTTTGGAGTTGTTATATGCAGTGTATTAAGCCAAATATGTTATATACAGTATGTCACTTATCAATCCTATAGAGTAGGTAATATTTTTCCCATTTTCCAGATGAGATTGTCACTCAGAAAGTCACACATAGACCACATTGTAGGTATATGGTAGAGCAAAATTTTGAACCCAGGTGTAATTGAATTTGAAAGTGAAAGACTTTAGTGAAATATTTAGCTGCTAAATGTTATTCTCTGGTAAGTAATAACTTTTAAGAGACTTTTAAGTTGACATCTTAGTTCTGAAATTCCTTCTTATGAAGGGATTTTGAGCAATGGTGATGTATATACAATGAACACAAAAATGAACTAATGCATACAATAAATGTGATCTTTTAGAGATATGACCTCTAGGACACGTAGCAATTTTTACTAACACTTGGTCATGAAAGGTCCTGGTTCTTTGGCATTTAAGATTAGAAATGTTTATCATATAATCTAGTTTAGTCTTTTCTAGAATTATTGACAGATACATAGACTGGCAAGTATGACATATATAGTTCAAAACACAGAGATGATATAGTGCATAATTGAACGACATCTTTAAAACTGTACTTTTGTTTTAATTAATTAATTAATTTAGAGCATGAGCAGGGAGAGGGGCAGAGAGAAAGGGAGAGTGAAAATTCCAAGCAGAGTCTGCAATGAGCATGGAGCCCAAAGTTGGGCTTGATCCTACAACCCAGAGATCATGACCTGAGCCAAAACTAAGAGTCTGTGGCTCAACAGACTGAGCCACCCAGGTGCCCCATAGAACTGTGTACTTTTAAAATCAGTCTGTAGATGCCCAGATCTCTCAATCAGATCTTTGCTTGTATCTCCATAATAATGTGATTTTTAAGTGAGAAACTTCTAACTTTAAACTAGATGATTTGGTGAACATATTTTAATTTTTTTATAATGTCTTTATTGGTTTGTAGCATCATAAGACTAATAGTAGTTCATATACTTGATTGGTTGGTTGGTTGCTTTATTAATTTTCTGCCTTATTTGAAATGATACTGTGAGTTAGAAGATACTGCAGAAATCCAAATAGGTAACAATGGCTTGGAATATGGTATTATATTTCTTCTAGGTTCTTGCTTTTTTCTTTTAAATCTAGAATGATTTATTTTGATTGGCTATATTTTTCTGGAAGCCTGTAAAGCTGTTTCACAATTCCCTGCTTTTAATACCATGACTGTTTTTTTTGTTGTCTGCAGAAATTACTGCTTTTGGGATCCCCGGTCAGTGTTTTTTTTTTTTTTTTTAAAGTAGGCTTCATGCCCAGTGTGGAGCCCAACACAGAGCTTGAACTCACGACCCTGAGATCAAGACCTGCGCTGAGATCAAGAGTCGGATACTTCACCGACTGAGCCACCCAGGCGCCCCTCCACCATCCCAGTCAGTTTTTATGAGCCTGGAAGGATAGAGAGGTAGCATTAACAATTACCCAATGACATATATTACCAGTATCACAACCCAGGTCTATTTTATAGTATGTGACTTCTCATAGGCATTTTACCCTTTAATAATCTGCTATATCTGATACCAAAAAAGATGTGTATATTTAAAAAAAAATGATATTCTGAAACATTGGATTTATGATCTGGAATATAGATTAGCCCTTAAAATATTCTTTCAACATAAAATACAATTTTCCCCAAACATAATCTTATCAGTGTCACAAAGATAATAAATTTAATTGTGATCCACAAAGTCTGATGTGAACATCACTTAATCTCAGAAAATTTTATGCAGTATTGGAGTCTAGCCTTTAGGCCGTCTTTATAATCTGTGAAATAAATCTGTCTTAACCATGAGGCATGTTAGTACAAGGCTTTCTTGGTATTTCAGTAATTAAATTCTTTGGGATGGAATCCAAGGTGAACCTTTCTTATATCTATCTGTATGAGTTTTTTGATGTTTAAGAAGGGCCTTAGAGTACAGAAACTATATA